AGCTCCCTGTGACGGGTGTCCCTGTGTCGCTTTGCACGCTCTCCTCCTGCAGTCGGAGAACGCGTATCTCTGCCAGATCTACAACCTGACGCTCCTCTGCATGGAGGATTACACGGTGGAAGCCCAGTCCGTGCAGTTCCTGGTGCAGCACGGCTTTGACTTCAACAAGCAGTACTCCCAGGGGATTCCTTACCACAAGGGCAACGACAAGGTACAAAACTGCTCTCCTTCGGGCCCCTCAGTTTGCTCTGCCCCAGGCTTCTGGGGAGGCTGCTGGCTTCCCCTGGTCCTGGCGTCACCCTCGCACAGCTGCCGAGTGAAGATGGGCTCACACTGGGGTCTTGAGTGCAGCGTTATCCCTTTCACCTCCCTGCTGCTTTATATCCAGGCTGTCACTTGTTGCAGTTGCTTTTCCAAATGTTTGGGCCTCTCTTTGGTGAGAGCAAGAAACAGCTGTAGGCAGTGCTCTGCTACAGCAGGCTCTGAGGACTTCCCAGGGTGATGGCAAGTCCAGGCGCTAAGGCGTGTTGACCAATCCTTCCTCTTGCAGGGCAACGAGAACCAGAGCCTGAGCGTTCGGACTTTTTTTCTGGAGCTCATACGAGCGAAGAAGCCTCTCGTTCTCCATAACGGCCTGATTGATCTGGTCTTCCTGTACCAGTGCTTCTACGCTCACCTGCCAGACAACCTCGGCACCTTCACCGCTGACCTCTCAGAAATGATATGACACCAAGTATGCTTCAGAGTTTGAGACTCGCTTTGTAGCGTCCTACTTGGAGTATGCTTACAAGAAATGGTGAGCGGCGCTCTGGTATTTAAAGCTCATGGGAGAAAGGGCAATGGGAGGGTCAGTGGTTGGTTTTTTCTAGGCAGGGGGATTGGCTCTTAGTATCATCCCCATGAGTGAAGAAAGGTGCTTTTCTGGTGAGTCTGCCCCGTGCTCTTCCTGTTTCTAGGATGGGTGCCAAGTGCATAAGGGTGCATTTTGTAACATGCCTTGTCTGTTCAGTCGGCGGCTGCTGAAAGAGGATTTCGGTCTTCTGCTGGCAGCAGTTGTGACCACGGAGTGACCTCATCTAATTGAAAAATAATCGATTCGCTACGTGGCCCTGGTCCAGCAGTGCCACAAGGCCACGGCAGGAACACACGCAGAAGAGGGACCCTTAAAACTCAGCTAGGGAGCAAACAAAAACAGGTCTGTGCCTGCAGGGTCTGCTGGTTATGATTTGGTTTTGTAGGGGATGGTGCAGGTAAAGGGTAGGGGCTCCCCGCACCTCCTGACGCCGACCAGCTCTGTCATGCATCTCGCACGTGATGCTCGCGTGCAGCCGGCTATCACCTCCCATCACCTCCCTTCTGAGCAAAGGTTGTGCTCTCATTCCAGAGTGTCCTGTCTCGTTCCCTGCCCCCAGCTCTTCATGGATAGCTTCCAGGCAGACACATGTTAGAAGCAGAGATGCCTGTCCACTTCACGTGTCGGTCCAGCCCCTGGTTCTGCACTCTCCGCACAATCTAAACAAGCCCCTGGCAGTGATACAGCCCCTTGAATCTCCATTAAACTGAAGTCATGCTCTGAGCAGAGGAGAAATGGTATTTTTAGTGACTGTTTTATATCAGGAAATGCCATTTTGACAGGTCTGAAAGCATTCAAGATGGCCGTTCTCAAGCATGAGAATGCTTTGTTTTGACAGGATAAAAATACTTTTAAAACTGAACTCTTAAATGTTTTAACCCACAATTCTAGTTACACAGGGCCTTCCAAGATTTTGGGCCTTTTAGCCAGCTCTGGGGACAGAACAGCTCTTTTCTCATGAGGTGGAAAACATTTCCTTCATGTCTGCATTGCCCAGGTTAGACCTGTTGAAGCAGTGGCTGCGGGATGCTCTACACGATGCCTCATTTTTGGGCGTTTTTCCTTTGTCCATTAACATGAAGACTAACACATATCTTAGTGCCCTTAATATTTAAAACCAAGCGCTGTGTCCTCTTCTCCCATAGCTTTCCTTGAGACACTGGTGTCTCTGCCGGTGTGTTGGCATAAGAGAAACCAATCAAACCAGCACAGAATCACCTAGTTACTAAACTGCTCTCCCGGGACTGAGTTTCTTCCCAGCCGGCTGTCGAGCTGGCTAGAGCTCAAGAGCAGGAAACTAGTGGAGTTGAGGCTTGGTGGAGAGCAGCGTGTTGGCAGCAGCTCCACGCTGTGGTACCTTCAGTGATGTTAACTGTGTACTCTTGTTCCAGCAAGCGGGAAAACTGCAAGCTGAAGGACTCCAGCAGCCAGCACCTCACCATTGAGTTCTGCAACTACCCTGCCAATGTGTCCCGTTACATCGACTATCGCCACTGCTCTCCGGAAGAAGAAAGCAATGATGTGGGAGGGGAAAATAAAGTGCCTGTTTGTGAGAAATTTTCGGTAAGTAACATGAATCCCTGCTTCCTTCCTGGCTCCATGGAAAGAGCCACATGTGGCCAGAGCAGGAAGTAGCAGGAAAGCACCTGAGAACTCCCCCTTGCTTGCTTGACAATACAAGGAAGATTTTCAAGCTACAGGTGGCTTCATGACAGAAAGGGAAATGGCATGCTCTGTTGGGAGATGGTGAATTCCACAGGTTACGTTAGAAACAAAGATTCAGAAAGAGATTATAGGGCCTGAACAGTGGGATGGTATGAGGTATAGTACCTATTGCTGTCTTGGGGGCGCTGCAAGTTCTAAATTAGTTTCCTCTGAGCAAGAAATGCTGCCTTGTCCCTCTCCCCTACCTTGATTAGATATAAAAAAATGCTACCTGTCTGCAGCTGTAGTATGGTGTGGTTCACAGCATCTCAAGTCCTTGTGCTGCTACAGCAGTAAGCAAAGAGCCCATCTGAGCAGATGCTTCAGGGAGAAAGGGAGCTCTTCCAGGTGTTACATGTTACTGTCGCAGAACAACATAGGTTGGGAAAACCTCTGGAAGTTTATCATCCAGCCACCAACTCAATACTGCTCAGAGCCTTGTTTGGTGAATTTTGAAAATCTCTAAGGACAGATATTGCAGAACCCCTCCAGGCCCATTCCCGTGCTTGACCACTCATTGTGAAAAATGCCTTCCTATATATCTAGTGAGAATTTCCTCCGACTGTGACCACGTCACCTTCCCCTGCGCTCCCCTCAGAAGAGTCTAGCTCCATCTTTATAACCTTTGCGTTAGGTACCTGCAAACAGCAACAAGGTATCTCCATCCCCTTAGCTTTGCCATCTCCAGGTAGAACAAATCCACTTTCCTTGGCTCTTCCTTATACGTTGCATCGCGACAGCTCCCTGCTGCACTTGCTGCAGTTTGTCAGTGCCGTTGTGGGGCTGTAACCGGACACAGGGCTCTTGATACTGTCTGGAGCGGGTCCAGAGGAGGGCCACAAAGATGATCCGAGGGCTGGAGCACCTCTGCTATGAAGACAGGCAGAGAGTTGGGGCTGTTCAACCTGGAGAAGAGAAGGCTCCGAGGTGATCTTATTGCAGCCTTCTAGTATTTAAAGGGGGCCTACAGGAAAGCTGGAAAGGGGCTTTTTACAAAGGCCTGTAGTGACAGGACAAGGGGCAATGGCTTTAAACTGAAAGAGGGGAGACTTCCATTAAATAGAAGGAAGAAATTTTTTACTCTGAGGGTGGTGAGGCACTGGAACAGGTTGCCCAGAGAAGTTGTGGCTGCCCCATCCCTGGAAGTGTTCAAGGCCAGGTTGGATGAGGCTTTGGGCAACCTGGTGCAGTGGAGGGTGTCCCTGCCCATGGCAGGGGAGTTGGAACTAGATGATCTTTGAGGTCCCTTCCAACCCAAACCGTTCTATGATTCTATGATACAGCTTCACAAGCCCTCAGTAGAGGGGAGTAATTATCTCTGCTCCATGTTACGGTGATAAACTGTTCTAACCAGGAGGCTGGTGGTGACAGACTTCTCTCTCTCTCCCTAGGCCTATGGCTGGTGTCCAAAAGGGGTGAAGTGTCCACAGTCTCATAACATTGACCTCATAATTGATGAAGATGACAAGCTTTGGGAGGAGAAGCGGAAGAAGCAGAAGCACAAATGGAAGCGTCGGAAGAACACCAGAGAGCCTGCAAAGGCACATGAAGAGGAAAGCTCAGAGAAAGAAATGGAGCTAGGTCAGAATGGACAGGAGGGACCGCCGCGAAAACAGAGCTGCTATGAGCCTCCAGCTGCTGCGGAGCTGGCAGAGATGGCACCCAACAGCGAGGGCAGGCCACTGGAGGAGGAGAACTCCATGGACACGGAACCAGAGGTCAGCTCGGACACTAGTGCACAACAGGAAGAGGATCTGGGGAGCACTGAAGGAACTGCTGCCCAGGTAGCAGCTTCAGTGAGCCCTTCTGCCAAGGGAAACGCCTCTGACAGTGACCAAGTGGAGGGGAAGTCAGAGGTTCCCGCTGGCGTGGGCTCAGTCAATTACCCAGACATCCCTGAGACAGAAGCAGCATGTGCTGCAGAAAAGGAAAAGGAAACCCGTGGTCCACCTTCACAGGGGGGCACACACCGAGCTGGCTTTGACGCATTCATGACTGGATATATCATGGCTTACGTGTGGATGCTCAAGAAAGGGAAAAACACGGACCCTGGTGCAGGACCCTGGTTGCCAGTCTGCCACAATAAACTGTACCTCAGTGGGAAATCAGTGCCACTCCAGATAGTAAAGAGCTTGTTTTCCAAATCTTCCAAAGCTCACAGCCAGAAGATGAAGTTGGCCTGGGCCAGTGGACAGAGCTAGAGGACTCCTCACTGAACTGGGCTTTTTTTCCCCCTCAAGTTTTGAAGTTCTTTATTCCATCAAAAGCTGTCCAGAAGGGGAGCAAGTTTCTTAACTCTTGTTTTTCTTTTCGCTTCTAACAGATTAAATTGCTCTCGATGGGAGGTCCCTCTGTTGTTCCTCAGTGGTGTGCTAGGCTGTGCAGGCAGGGGTGAGGGAGGAGAGAGGAAAAGCACACCTCTCCAACGGCACCCAGGGCTGCAAGTCTCAGTTTGGTGCTGTGCGCTCCTGAGTGGGTTTTGAAAAAACAACCTAGGGTTGCCTTTCCTGAAAGACCACTTGCCAGCTACCTTAGCATGGGTTTCACTTCTTGCAGAAGATGAAGGTGGTAATCACTTGATAACCAGAGGAGACAGAGGCCAGAGCTTCCCCCTTAAACTTCCTAGCACGTCAGAGCCCCAGTGTCTTCCCAGATCTTGCCTTTATCCTTACTGCACCTACAGCCTTATTTCCTGCTGCCACTTAACCTAGCGGCTTAGGGTGGGATAGACCTTTTCAAGAGGAGCACGTGCTAAAGGTCCACATGTCTGAAAGCTCCAAGCTGCTGACCCATACAACCAGTTTGATAGAAAATGCTATGAATAGTTACTGGAGGAAGATGTAATGCTTCTGTGAGACACCAGGTGAAAGAAGGCTGCCTCTTCAGGCAAAGCACCCAGTTTTATGAATGTTTAGTCAAGTGTTACTGCTTTCAGTCTGCTGGTAGGGTAATTCCCTATAATGCTCATAATTATTTCCTCTCTTTCTAAGGAGGTCAACAAGGATAAAAGTGTCCTGTTTTTTTAAAAAACAAACAAAAAAAGACAGACCCTGACCATGGTTAGTTTAGAACATGCACGTGGGAGAGCTTTCCCACTTTGTATTTGTACTTTACCTTAACCTTGTTTACAACACACACAGACAAGACCTTTGCTTCCACGGGAGAGAGGGAAGGAAAAAGCTGCTTCTCCCAAATGGGCCAGCTGGTTCCAGTGCAGGGTAGCTGCATGCAGAACCAAGCCACAGCAAGTCTTCAGACTTCTAAGGGGAGATGCAGTGGGACTTAAAGCCAGATGTGGTCCTCTTAAACTGCTCAGCTTCCTGAAGCTATTCTGTAGGGCTAGAACACAGCAGGCACAACGGCAAGCTCCCTGCAGGCTGTGCTATCAAAAGCCATCTTGTCTTGAAGGTCAAAAGTTGCTGCCTACTCTTGAGAGTGCTATAAGGCAAAGCAGAAAAACTCCTTGAGTCTCACAGATTTAATAGTGTAACACCTCAGTAAGATGCAGGAGAGACACAACACTGAATAAGGATGACAGTTTTCCCTGTTTATAATTCAGCACTGAGTAATAGTGAATATGATCTCAAGCCAGGTATTAATGTCATCCATAGCTTCAGTAAGCATTCGAGCCAGCTTTTTTAACCTAGAGTTGCCCTCTCAATCACAAGACTCAGGCCTTGATTTTATTTTTATTTTGAAAGCAAGTTGGGAAAGTTTACAAAACCTGACCAAGAAAAAATTATGAAAATATTTAACTGGATTCATCTTTGGTTACTTCTTATTGCAGTTCCAATAAAACATACACCATTTCTATAGTTCAAAAAAAGTCAGAAGGTCAATCAACATAAAAACAAGACGTGCTTTCTTTACATATTCATAAATATCCACAATATTAGAAAAGTTGTTTTGCAAAGATTTTTTTTTCTGGCAGTGTTAACTTACTATTATACACAGGCTACAAACTTCTTCCTAAGCCTTTAATTACAAGTTGAGCTATTTACAGACTGCAAAATATTAAGACATAAAACTCCTTCATAAATACGAAAATAGATCATCTTGCAAAGATCTTTATACTTAATCAAATATCTGGCTGCCCCTCCTCCCAAAAAAAAGGTTATTTGTTTTGCATAGAAATGTAGTGACATGCAATATAAACAACAGCATTAAGTGCAAACAGGAATTATTCAAGTGTCTTTAGTTGTACTGGCAAAAAATACCAATATTCTGTTACACGTAATACATCGATGCCTCCCCAACAAGTGTAAGTCTACTACAGCCCCTTGTCTGCTCCGCTTCTGAGGGGCAGCAATCCACATGCGTTCTCAACTTTATCAACCTGCAACCACAACAAAAATAGCTTATAACAGACATGTAAATGAATTCAACGCAGAAGGATTTAAAGTGAATTAAAAACGTCTTTGATCTCTTCAGGGAACCCAGCAGTGTGTAGAAAGTGTTTTAAAAGAGCAAGAAGTGCTCCTGTAAGAAAGTCAAAAATCATGATAAAATCCAATCACAATAAAACTTTGTCACATCACTATAAAACAAGGAGTTTGCTGACCACACGTTCACACTCATGTTCAAAGTAGCTGTCAGAAAATGGCCCCCAGTAGAAAAGCACCCTCAGGTGGGCAGAAAACCCAGGAGTAGTAACTAGGTGCAACCTAGATTCATCTTTACACAACCAAAGGGAGGAGATGTAGCGAGTGCCAACTGCATCCAGATCCTTGGAAACACTGGCTTTTAGCAAGCACTTAGCTGTTTTAAAAATGGCCTTTCACTCCAGTTTCACACATATGCCTCTTTCCCCAGGCAGACCAAGAATCCAGGGAAAGCCTGAGCTGCTATTCCTTGACGTTTCTCTTTCTGACATCTCCACCTCAGTACAAAGAGCTAGAAAAGTTGACAGATGAGCCCTATGCATGTCCGCTGGCTGTGCTTAGAGAGAACATTTAGGAAAACAAAATTTTAGCCATACTGCTTCATGAGAGAGCTATTCAGGGCAGGGAAACATTTTAAGAGACAGTGGTGTTAGAAAACAGATGAGGTCACTGCAATGGGTGCCACAGAGGTACCCCAAGCCTGACTGCACAGGCTTTGCAGTCAGCGTCAGAGAGGGCGACAGGCTGCGTGATGAGGTGTCGGCACGGGCAACCAAGGCTAGTGCAAGCCACAGAGCAGCCAGAGGCATGTGCGTGCTCTCCGGTGAGGCTGCAGGCTGCCGGAGGATGCTGGACAGCTTCCTCTCAGCCTAGCGACCCAGAAGTAAAATATTCCTCATTATTGCTTGTTTTTGTCTGAAGTCACACACCTAAATGCATCTTGTGACAACAGAAGCTGGTGCTGCTGCTGGTTTTCCTCCTGAAAGATTACAATTGTATAAAAGATTAAAAAAAAAAAAAGGAAAAGCAGGCACCAGACAGGTAACTAGCTGGCAACTGAGTCCTGCCGACTGTTTCCCTGCCCTCAAAGGAAGTTACGCACACACAGTGCCAGCCATACAAGCCGCTCTGACCTCTGCAAGCGCCAGCCCTGCAGACAGGACACACAAGACAGACTGCTCTACAGATCAGCACCTTCGAGAGGCAGCGAGACGTGGTCTGACAGCGGTGACCCTGGTAAGGACAGCCATCTTCTCTGGCATGGACTGTGCTAAGTAACTCGGCGACACCGGGTTTCTCATCTAATTCTGCACAGCCGCTGTAGAGGGATAACTGCTGCTCAGGTTAACACGTATTTCACAAGAGGACGTCAACTCACAGAGTAGTTACCTACACCTCTGGAAAGATAAGCATCTCAGCCAAGAACGAACTAAGGCTTTCTCCTGCACCCTTTCTTTGAGATAGGAAAAGAGTAGGAATAGTCCTCCTTCCATCAGAGACTAGCTTACATTTTCCATCCTTACAAGAGAGCAGGAAGAGAGTCTAACAGGCTACCTGGGTGAAATTCTGGTCTCTACTGCATCACCATCTGCTCAGCAGGCATGCAATGCATACCTCAGTTAGGAATGATAATATAGATTAAAAAAAATAGTTAAAAAAAAATAAAATCCCATGTAATTGGGACAGCAATAGTGGAAAAGGGCAGGATGGTGCACAGATGTCATCACAGAACAAGCTGTCCCACATACATCACATCCCACAGTGGAGATGTCTGATGCTGGTTCCAGCAAGCAACATTAAAGCTCATGCCACTGCTTCTTTCACATGTACCTGCTGGTGGAGGGAAGAAAGAAAAAAAGAAAAATACCATCCTATTCAGTGACAGGAGAAGCCAATGAAGACAATGGCTTTTTTCTTCTGTAGATGGAAAAAAAGTGAATTTGGGACAAGTTTTCTTCAGTTTGACAACTCAAAGCCCTTCTCTGAGTCTACTGTGCATGCTCCTCCAAGAGCGCTTGTGTGGCTGCAACACTGCTGGCCGCTTCCCCTGAGCAGGGGATTCCTTTTCTCTGTCAAGTGTACTCTGGTTTTAAATAAGGAGCCATCATTACTCCAGTGGTACCAATGAGATGGGACGTCGTACCAGAGAAGGAGGTGAATGTGACCCTTCTACTTTAGTGGTAATAGTCAACTGTGAGCTAGATATTTAGTTAACTGTTCTGCAGAAACAGATCACGAGGTCCATTCAGCTCTTCAGAGATAAGAGCCCACACCCCCCAAAAGCTCAGCACAACTGGTACTTTCACTGGCAGTTTCTCCAGAAGCCCAGAAATGACAATGCCTGGAACACGGCTCTCCTCCTGTACCCTGGGCAAATCCTCCTCCACGTTTGGGCTGAGGTACACGAAGAGCTGTGCAAGGAAGAGAGCGGTGCTTAGCGCATCCTGCTTTCATGTACTAATGTATTACACATCATTACCAAATCCCAAGGGAAAATGAAACACCAGGGAACAGATTCTTCTTGTTAATTGTAAAGTACTTGTCATGTGATTCGGCCTGCAGATTGCGACCAGCATGAGGGGTTTTGTTTTTGTGGCTTTTGAAAGAAGAGCTTGTCTAATGCTGGAACAACATTCGCAGCAGCTCTAGGACCAGAGAGCATTCCTATCTGCTCAACATAGCTCTGAAAGATCTCTGTGCCCGTTTCTAAAGCCGAGGCTCTGACTCACGTGCACTGCTGCAGAATGTTAATGCAAGATCTGCAGTGGTTTAGAGCAGCTGGTCAGCCAGAGGAAGAGGGAAAACCTAAGGTTCACTCTTTCTACCCAACATGAAGCTTAAGGCCTTGAAACACTCTATACTGGAATTCAGGCCAAACTGTTTACGCGGTGCCCGCTCTGGCTGCTGCCTCTTGGAAAGACTGTGGGGCCCACATGACCATTCTAGCAGGAGTAGTTCTCCCTCCTAATGCAAATCAGGGAAGGGAATAAGCACAGTTTGAAATAAAGTTAAAATAATCAGTCTCTCCACACGCTGTCTGCAGCTATCTGTTTAACAGCCAGTTTCTACCATCTGCTGACTCTCTTTTCAATGTGAAGCCCAGCACTATAGAAAAACAGAGTTTAAGTGACTGGGAACAACTGTTCCCTCAAGGACACGTTCAGTTTGAGCCCTCTCTTCATATGTCACAATTTGACTCTGTGCTGCCACTTGCTGAGATATTGGAAGAGGTCTGAGACAACGGGGCAGGACTGTCCCCATCCTGCTCCCTGAAGGACCATGCCTCTCTCTTCAGCTCGGTGGAAGGACTAACACTGAACAGAGGCTTTGTAGACTCTAGCGGAGTATTTTTCAGTAGGTCATCTTCCACCTCCATCTCTTCAGAAGGGAGACAACCTGCAAACACTTGTGAGGAGCCATTTCCCCCAGAGTTCACTGAATTCTCAACTAGGAGCTTTTTGTAAGATAGCGCCTCAGGCTGGGCCGGCATTATCGGTTGATTACATGCTAAATCTCCACACGTGTTCTCAACAGGGCAAAACCCATTTTCTTCCTGGGCCACTGGCCCATCTGAACAGTCCATATCCTCCTCTTGTCCTGGTACAGAAAGAAATTCTGGCCTGTGAGGCTTGGCTTGAAAGGGGGGAATCTCTGACACACCATATTTACTGCTGCTCAGGAGTTTTTGCCGAACCTCTGCTCCTAGCTGGGTTGGGTCACACCTGCTGACAGTTGAAGACAGTCCCCCAAAGAGACCATATTCTTTGCGCGGCAATTCAGGAGAGAGCGGAAGTGATCTGCATCTCCTCCGAGGAAGAAGGGAAAATTCTTGCCAGTCTGTGCTATACGCCTGCCGGAACTGGGACTGGCTGGGCTTATTTCAGTCCTCCACCTGCCTCTGGAGAATGTAAGTCAAACACAAGGGAGATCACAGACTTGCTTGGCATGTCAAAGAATTTGATCTTTCCCCCCTTGAGGTCCTCCCGGGCACTGAAGGGATTAACTTTCCGGCCTAACCCCTTGTTTGGTGTATAGTAGGGGTCCTGCACATTTATCTTCCTGGAAGGCTTGCGGGAGAAGATATCCGACTGGCTGCGTGACAACCAGATATTCCGACGTGGACGCGGTGACTTGGGTGGGATCTTATCATCCAGGGAACTCAAACGTTTTACTCCTGGTCCTTTTTCAATTGACCCTGAATAGAAGAAAATAAATACTCTTAGCTTAAAGGAGCTATACACCTGCATGTCTGTTCACTCACAGCCTTCACGACAACTGTAAAGAAAAAGGTGCATTTCTGATATTCCAAAGTATCTTCTATAGCACGTGTTTGCTCATTCCTTACAAGTTCCTGCACAAACACAAGGATACCATTCCCTTCTCAGTGTATTATTGGTTTCAAATATGGAGATTTGGCAGCCCTGTCCACAGGATCTTTTAAATGTAAGGCAGTCAAAACTACATATAAAATGTTATCTCTTTACTCATGCCTCAGGCTAATTAAAAGTTAATGCCATCTTACTTCTCTAGGCTATGAAAGTGGACCGCTTCTTTATCATTTTATGATCAAATTTGCCACCCACATTATGGGGCATGCTAATTTGGCAAGACTATATTGTCTTCAGAAAAAAACAAAAGAAAGGAAACTGTACAAAAATTTGGCAGGAATGAAGAAGCCTTTCCCTCTTCTATCCAAACCCTGTATTTTAGGGCCCCTTCAAACCTCCTTGCTGCCAGTACACTAATGCAGCAGAGATGGCACAGGGTGGTCTCGCAGAAGAACAACTTGCATGTTTCTAGATTTATCATCCTGGCTTCCAGCAAAGGTTGCCCAAGATCTCTTGATGATACTGACCATAAAAGAGAGCAAGTACAAACATAGTTGCCAGAGGAGTTGGGACTTTTTCACTCTGATGGGAAAAATCTAAGACCAAAATAAATGCCCCACCTGATATCATGCAGAGTTTAAATCATTCCATCCCAGCTTTCATTCAGTACATTATCCCATACAGAAACTAGGGATACATGAGAGTTTGCCTCTAACGAACAGGAGTTAAGAAGTTGTACATATGCGTGTGTGTGTGTATTTATTTGCGCACATGTGTATGCATACACTTCTATAAATAAGAGCTGTATCACTAGAACAGGATGGGAAAATTGTAGTAGTTTTGAGAAAAGATGCTAACTCCTTGAGTGTTTGGAACATGCCTCTTCTACTGGCTCTCAAGGTGCCTCTGAAGAGCTGTGGTAGAGTAATAACAAACGGATATAAAGAAGCAATAATCTCCTTTCGATTAACATTTCCAGAATAAGCACATAGTGATTTCCCCTTTTCCCTTTAAGCACTGCCACAGTTTAGACTGTAGTCACTCCACCTAGGAACGACTATGCAAGTCAAAGAACAGCATGTAACACTTCTCCAAGAAGATGCAAATCTGACATATACTCCAAAGGGAGAATGCCAGAAAAATAGGGGGAAAAAAAAAAACAAACCCCCCAAAACCAAACAAAATAAACCCAACAAACTCAACAACCAAAAAACACCAACCAAACAAAAAATCTTCCTTTTTAACTTGCACCTCTCTTAGATGCTTTCCAAGTGTGGGAGAACTACCACATTGCATGCACTCTATGTGGTTTGCAACACAGAACTGATTTCAATCTACAACCGTGTTACAGATAGATATATGTCTGTACATATACACTATACGAGAAGTTATTTTTACTGCACTGTGAGCTTCCAATGCCAGAAGTCTACTAACATAAAGGATATCTAAGTCAGAATATGCCCCAAACTACAAGAGCTGCTTGCAAATTGCTCCCCACACCAGGTGGCACTAGATGGCTTTAGAGAAAGCCCTTCAAGGCCAGCACTCCCAAGCAGATCTGGGATTCATCTTTTCCCCTGTCTTTCAGAGTATTTCTAGGTACTTTATAATACTCTTGCATCTTCTCTGTTCTTCTTCCTGCAAGAATTTAACAAGCTTTTAAGTATTACATTTAACATAAACCAAAGAAATTATGTATCTACACTGTAACTGACACAGGGACAAAGCAAAAGTTGATGGATTTTCATATACTCTTGGCAACTTACTAAAACATTCCCAAATGAAGACTGAATTTCCCCTCAAGAGCTTGTGGGCAGAATCTTTTGAGGCACTTTAAGAAACAGCTGTTCTTTCCCAAAGGACCCTCTGCAGTGCAAAGTATACAGCGCTGTTCCACAGTAATTTTCAGGCTTTGAGTAAAATCATTCATAAGCTGTAAATAATACCATCCCAGTCTTCAAAATATGAAGCATTGTACCGTCTTGCTGTCAGCCTGCAGCAATGTTTGTATGATACACACACTTACCTTTGGGTTTTCTTTCACTGTTGTCAAGGTTCAAAAACTTCATCTCTCTCTCCGAGTCGTCATTTCTCAGGCGGTTTAAAATCTCCTCCAGTGTTTTGACAATATCAGCAAATGAAGGACGCAACTTTGGATCCATCTGTGAATGCGCACAAATCAAATACGTTCATGTGGGTTTGTTCATACTATTGTACTTACACAGTGGGCAGAGACAGACAATCTGAAGGAACTGAGGAAATTCAAGATGGGTTTAAGAAGTGTGTTGTCATTGCAAAAAATTTAAGTAAAGCAGGGGAAAAGTAGTATTCTGTCCCAGTTTATGCCTATTATACCTCTCACATTTAATTATCAAGTTGTAAACATTCTATGATGATGTATTTTAAATTGAAAAGGTCGAAACTTCAGATTCAGGGCTTCAGAGAGGGTTTTGCTTGTTTGTTTGCTTTAAACAGCTTTCATAGTTCAAGGATTTCTTTCTGGACTCTAGTTACCAGTCAAAGATTATATATCAAAGTTATTTCAAAATATGCCTGAAGCAATAAGGATTAAACAAAGCAACTTGGCTACATAATTCTTTAAAAGTTTGTAATTCTTCCATCATCTCCTTGTGGCTTTAATCAAAACCCACCTAAATGGCATTTCTGATTTTAAAGTTTACAGTGTTGTATCTTTCCATCTGTTAATTAGCCTTACTACTTGGTGTACCGGTCTGTCTCGTGAGGAAACAAGATTGGTTATATAATTTGACAAAGTAATACAACAGAAAAAAAAACATCCATCTTTGCCCAAGTAAAATACACCCCCTCCCATCCAGTCACCCATATGTATTCACTTTGTATTTATCAGTATGTATTTCTTTATTCACCCCAGTAGAAATGGATTTCTAAATGAAGTCCAACACTAAAATTGTACTCAAGGGCAAGCAGTTTAATTTAAGTAGTAACCCAGAAGGTATTTCATCATTTTGAACACTGACCCGGTATATATGTTACAGGTTTAACTACTGTAGGTAGCAATGTCTAATTCAGCAGCTGAAAGTTAACCTCTACAGTATTAAAAAAGATTCTGCTTGACCTGATTCCTGTTTCTAGCCCTCTAAAGGCTTTTTCAGAGCAGACAAGCCCAGACAGATCTCATCTATAGTACAAAGGGAACAGTGGTGCTTTGTAAACAAAACCCCCAAAGACCTCCCTGATACTGCCTCACAGGTCCCACAAGATGGATCTTTCTGAAGAGAACTAGTATGATCAGCAATGCCAGAACACCTTCTAGCCACACAGCATAAAGGGCTAAAAGTTTATACCTACAGTAATAAAACCAAACAAATAAATCACATTTGAAGAGCTTAAGTGCAGCAAGAAAGTTGTTCTAACGCAGCAGTTCGAACTTCGTGGCACAGAAAACATCTTTTTCTGCTTTCCCTATTTCACTGAAAGAGTAGGGCAGGGACAACACCAAAACACATACTCTGTACTCCGACAAACTTACTAATTTGAGAGGCTTAGAGAGCTGTTGCAAGCTACAGAAAGTAAGAAGAGCTCTCTGGCTATTTTAATTTGTGCTTGGTAAGATCTAGGACAAGAGCAGCAATGGAAAAGTGACTCAGAACATTTGCCTCTTCCATCCCTGAGCGGTCCAGCTTCTGCTCAAATGGAACAGAAGGTTCTTCCTCAAGGCAGCAGCTGCTACAGCTCAGCTCATGCTCGTAAGGTTTTTGCATGATCATACATGACTACGTTTATAAGCATTCATACAAGCAGGCTTACAGTTGTTGCAGAGCCGTAAGTTTTAGACTTCCTTGCATGTACTTATTTAAAAAACACATTATAACAGCAAATTAAAGACATTTTAATCTACTGCTCATACACGTCAGTTTTTACTGGTTTTCTTACGTTGCCCTAAAACATATTTCCCAGCTGTAGAAAACCCCAGGGCGCTGCACATTAGTTCAGCTAATCAGCTGAGCTATACAGTTTACACTGTTTGTTGACCTATTAAATAATAAAAAGCTATATAGACGTCCATGTCCAAGAGCAAATTATCACACAGATCACCTGTTACTGAAGCACAGCATGCTTAGGAAGATAAAAGAAAGTCTCATCTGTTCATTACCTTTTTCCTTCTACTAGGTACGTGGTAAGTAATTACAGCATGCCCCCCAATGAAATCAGCATATTAACGGCTTGATCACAAGGCAGTAATTTCCACTTGCAATTCAGGGAAGGGACAGTTATTATCCAGGAAGCAACATTTGATGACAATCAACAGACAAAAATCCTTTTTCTCTGAACACACCAAATTCTTACATGAGAATATAAAAATCAGTCACTTCCCCTTTCTTCATGAGTACAGTTTTACTCTGAATTTCACCTGTGCTGAAAAATTGCTTTGAATCATGCACCATGTGTTTGGATGCAGTACAATTTCTGGAGTCTACAGGTGGGAGCCAAGATTACCAAAGTCAAATCCTACCTCTAGCCAAACCCTTTAGTGCCTACATAGCCAAAACACTTCATAAACATGAGTCAGACACATCACTGTCCTGGTGAAGCAAGCTCCACTGTACTAAGGTGAAATCACAGGAGTGAAGTAGCTTGTCCAGAGTAAGTTCCACAAATGTTTTTAGAATTAATTTACACTATCTTGTGTCAAGAGCAGCATACACTCCCACCTGCTCACATCCTCACCTTTATATTGCTCTCCCCTTGAATAAGCATGTGCATTTGTACTAATACGAAGGAAAGAGAGAGCTTAGGGCAAAAATAAGCCTCAAGAGCACGGAGAGATGAGACTGCTTCTTTCAGTAGCACTGTTGAAAACAAAGCCTGAAAAATCAGTAACAGACAGGAATAAAAAGCCTGTTCTGAGGCTTTTCTTATAAACGCCCACTTGGACACAGTGCTGGTATTGGCTCCAGCATGGTTTGGTTGTGGGGTCCTAGGCAAAGTTTTGTGAAAGAAAATTTTCTGAACTTGCCTCAATTCAAGTTGTGCAAACTGGGTATTCACAACTTCAGCTGAATTTGGTGGAAGCTCAGGTTCTCTTACTTCATATAAACCAGATTACTATACAAAGGCACTAGCGACCTCTGTTACGGGATAACCCGCAAAAGAGATCTACTTCCCTGGAATTTTCACACTGAGGAGCCATGAAGTTATCCAGCACTACCTATCACAATTTTACTTGAATAACTGGCAGAAAATTTTCTCCATACAGCACATTGCCTATAGCCTCACTGATATTAAATCATTTGGGTTCAAATTTGGTTTTTTGGAACACACGCTAGGGATTTGGAGGTTTATCCCGCTTTCCAAAAGGCAGCATATAGAAAATTCAGAGCAGTTTAGTGCCTGCTCTTGATTCATTTGTCCTGTTTGTGAAAAAAAACTCAGAATTCTTTTTTCACAGCTCAGTAGGTCTGTACACAATAACAGCTGGATTTTGTCAGCCCAAGGGCCAGCCAGTGTCAATAGCATACAACTGGTTATGGTCAGCCTGAGCAGCCTGCAAGAAGCTGTTCAGTGTGCCAGACCTGTTTGTTTGGCATGACAGAACACAGAACTGCCAAAATACAAGACAGACCTTTTTGCGAGGGGAAGGGTTATCAGAACGCACACTGCTTTTCTAGGTAGGTTCTTCAAGTCTCTTCTGCAAATGCTTTAAGCTCTATCTTCAACAGCCACAGGGATTTAAAGAACCCTACTTTAGGCCTCTTCTCTTCAAGTAAGATACTCACATTACAGCAGTTGAACGCCAGCTGGAGGAAGTCAGGGGGACAGTCTCCCACCATGTGCTGGAAGGCATCATAATCTAATCCAAAATTCTGTACAAACAAAAACACGGCACAGAGATATAAATGAGGTCAGCTATCTGGCCCAAAGCATCTTCTTTTCAGGAGGTCCCTACATGGACTTATCAGGAATAACCACAGACACCATCTCTCAACAGCCACATACAGAGGATTTCGGGAACACTCCATGCACACTCCGAACTGCAGCATTCCCAATGGGGATTACTTGATACAAGATACACGTAAAAGAATGAGCTGACTTCAAAGCCCATCTTTCTTCCTGGACTCAACTGCAATCCATTGCACTTGAAATGTTGCCCACGTGGATCTGGAAGTAATATCCTATATTATGATGTTTCACCACGGAGACTTTCACAACGTAAATTAACAGCCTGCTATAAAACCAGAGGCTTCACTATGATGACAATTTACCAGTTAAAATGGTTAATTTTTCACTGGATGGTAGACAGATTATTCAGTTCCTTAAATGCACTTCTGTAAAATCTGAAGGGCAGAGAAACAAAAGGATCTATTATTTACTGCAGTTCAAGACGTAAGCAATTCTGCATTTTCAGAACCGGAGGGGAATAGACAATTTGGAAGACCCCTCATAGAAAACCAAAAGCTGCCCTGCAGATGGGACTCAACCAAAAGGCAACTGAGGAGAGTAAGAAGTATCTTGTTTGATTAGTCAATTCTAGCTCAGACCCACAGTGCTTGGCAGTCCATGCAAAAATAAGGGCAAGCTTATTTTAGCTGCTGCTAACACAGCTCCTGCTCCTTTCACAAGGAGGGGTTGCTTAGCAGATGCAGTGTGCCAGAAGTGCTCTGTTCTGAATCTGGCAAGAAGTCTACATGAGCTATCACTCTACAAAAGGAAGGTCACTGCAATGCTCTCAGTGTTCTGCCAGTCAAGGGCAGAAAGGATTTCCCATGGGTACTGCAGCTGGACAAAGTCTCTGTAAGAGTGTCTTTGATGGAGCTTCTTACAATAACAGCACAGAAGAACAAAAGCCTTTTACAGGCTATTTTTAATGTAACACCTGTTTATCGTATCTTTGGCAGCATTGCCAGAACTCCCAAAGGCCAGCCATTATCATGGCATACTTACCACCTCCCACCTCTGTTACAAATGTAACCACTTACCTCTGTGCGAGGGAGATAGTCTGGATCTGCCTGTATTCTCGCTATAATCTCACACAGAATTATACCATAGGAGAAGACATCCGCCTAAGAGAGAAGAAAAAAATAAATAGCCACATGGTTCAGCTATGAATACTCAGCGCTCTTATCTGGCACTGAGTTTCTCCTTACCCCAAATGGTTATCGTGAAACAACCAGACCAACACCATCACCTCACAACACTAAGCAACTGCATTACAGCTAACATTTTCCATGTGAAGAAATACATGCTCACAGTAAAGCATTCTTCTTGCACCAATAGCAATGATAACTTTAAAACTCAAGAAAAAAAAAGAAAAAAAACACAGCAAACCACTCTTACATCAGTAGAGTAAAAAAAAAAATATATATATATTCTTCCTTGCATAAAGAATGGTGAAGTTGCATTTGATGTCTTACAGATGGGAGTAATTAAAAACACAGCCAAAAACCCAACATGCCTACATATCACTGTGGTTAGAAAGACAGGTTTAGAATGTACATGATCACAGCTTATCCATTAATGCTGTTTTTAAGAAAAACTACATTTTTCTCTTCTCACAGTTCAGCACCTCTGGACAAAACAGTGTCTTTCCTCAAGCTTGAGAAACCTAGTAACACTGGTCACTTTCCATCGAAATTTCCATGACGCTTGGTAATTACTTATCTGACTACCCCTGGAGCTGCACAGTTCCTCAGATTTCCACTCACCTGAATTTATCATGTAACAAAATTTAGGAAAACATGGGATACAAGTCTCCAGAGCAGAAACCAGGCATCCCTCATCTCTTAGATACCAGGCAGGCTTATAGTCACCTTTCATGCTGATGAGGTATTCGACCTGCTTCCTCTTTAGTCCTCCAAGCCCTTGGGTTAGTGAAGAATGTGGCACCACAGATTTGGGTACTTTATTATTAATTTAGGTCAATCAGAACTCTTAACTAAGCTTTGAAATGGTAATTATTACATTAATTACTGAGGTAGCTACTGCTCTCCTGAAAGTTAAAAGTACCACCAATTAAACAGACGACTGACTGCTAGCTATAAAAAGGTACAGGATGTGGACTTTTTTACAGAAAGCTGCACTCGCAGGACTGAAGCAGACTATGTTATACGCAGGAGAGAAAACCCTGTGTAAAGAAGAGCTTGGCTGAAAATACTGTTTCTGAAATCCAGTGTGATCTGATCCTCCTCTGACAGAAACCTTTCCAAATGCCACAAATAGGAAAACTTAGAAATACCTTCGGAGAACATTTTTATCCAGGTATCTTACCTTGAGAAATGTAGATTTTTTTTTTTTTCTAATTAACATACTTGTACAAGTTTACATACGGACCTTTTACTTCTACTCAGATTTCAGTAATGTATGGTCAGGGAAGTAACCTCACTACATTTCTCAGGAGACTCGGTTCAATTAAGTTGTGTTAGATCAACAAGCCAAGTATTTCTGCATGTGGGATGTTTCAGAATGGAAATAGCATAACAGTGAATAAGCAAAAAGTAATTCTATTTCCGTATAAGTATCCACACCAGGAATTATAAATATTAGTTATTCCACTCACACTCTCCCTTAGTCTGATTGACCTACTAAGTACAGAAATGTCACAAATGAAAATATCAATAACTTTAATATTATTGAAATTCTGAATCTCAAATACAGCTATTTAAGAGAAACAACTAAAGTCCATTTATGTCATGTACCTACCTTTTCATCATAAGGTTCATCTCTGAGAACTTCTGGTGCCATCCAGAAGGGTGAACCCACCACTGGTAACTTCTCACTATATAGATATAGGACAGATGGCAAGAGAGGGGGATGAGGGGAGAGAGAGGGAAGAAGCATTAAATAAATACTCTGATTCAGGCACTGATAGTAACTTCCCATAACTCCAAGTATCTGCAGAAGCTTTCACCAGAGGGAAGTCGATACAAGTGGGTTCCGTCACATACTGTATTTTACACTGGTTTCCTACTGGAGACACTGAAACATTCAATAGCAGGAGAAGAAGGTGAAAAAAAAAGAAAGCTTCAATCAATTACTCACATTTTATTTCCAGTTTCTAAGTGCCTGGCTACTTAAAAAAAAAAAAAAAAAATATTTGAACGTCACAGGTATTCAATAATTTTGGTTTCCAAACTCTTGGCAGAGTGGGCTCCTTCATCTATACATAAAAAGGTTGGTGGACATCAGTTTTGGGCTAGATGTCAAGTTCTCCATTCATGCAGCAAGACATGCAGGTATCCATCCCTACATGTACACCAATAACCAGCTCTGAAAGTATTCAGCACAGCCTGCTTGCAAACTGTTTTTTTTAAAAAAAAGTCAAGATTGACCAGATGAACCAGAAAAATGAAAGCAATCAGAACAGAGCCAATTTAAAAAGCCTGCAATGTTTCCATATGGCTGAATACGAGGGCCTTAAGAAAGGCCTCCATCTTGCCACACAGCTGACCTTAAAGGAATGCTTATTAAAAAACAGCCTCTGAAGGCCTCAAATAGCACAGCTGGCGAGCCAGCAAACTGCCGACAACAAAACTGCGTGTGAGAACGGAGGTAAGACTAGATCAAACCACAATGGTGGCTAATGTAACAACTTTATTCTGTTGTTTGTTTTAGTATCAAGCTACCTTAACTTCAGCTATTGTTACACTCTCGGTTCATTTTGTTAAGCTTTTAGATCAGTATTTCATCAACATTAACTCAAGCCTTCAGATGTCCCAAGATGCGGTTTCAGGATATGTGCAGTTTAAAACCAGTGCATAGCTGACTGGTTTTCTTTGTAGTCTTTCTTATTGTTTTCTTTGCAGTCAACAGAGCTGGAAGCAGAAATACACACGTATTTATTTTACGCAGAAATACACACTGCAGAAAATCTGACAGCACGTTTCACGGTCAGAATACACTGAAATATACAAGTCAACATACAGAGAGAACAATGAAACCCTTGTCCTTGATCTCCCTAACAGAGGGATGACAAAAGGACTATTTCCAATTGTGACAATCGCTTGTGACAGTCACCTGCGTGTTCCTCAAATGAGTTAAGATTATATTCCACCCTGGGGAGAGCAAAATGGTGAGCTACTATTAGACAGTAATTTTAATATCTCTTTGTTATAAACCTAGATCTTAACAACTAACACAGAGGTTAAAGAGAATAATACTGGAATGCCACCAAATGTTGTTTATGAAAATAGAAGCTAATTGAAGTTGTCTGGAAACAGAGGACATTTATTATAAAATCAGCCCAATCCAGAATGCTGGACAGTATTTTTTTGTATGCTTTGTTGTTTGTTTAATTTTTTTAAATGAAAATTCCCAAGTACCTGCTTAGAAGATCTACTGAAGTGCTTTAGTAAATCCTCTACTCACTGGAGCATTTTTGAAGAATAAACATCACAAATAGATTTATCAAAATGGACAGTCATTCAGGCTGGAACATTTTGGCCAACCAGCCTGCAGCGCTAGACTGAAGACTGAGGATATTTTTTGCAAATTTTGTATCAGAATGCAATAATGGCCTCAGGGATCTGGCTCATTAGAGCTTCTGACCTGGAATCACACTGCAACTCTCACTGTATTTTGATTAGTTCATGTACCTGTGATCAGGAATCTTCTCTGCTAAACCAAAGTCTCCCACTATTGCTGAGTATCCGTTCTCATCATGTTTTATTAAGCAGTTCTGGAAAAAAAAATAATAGAAGAGTTATTGTCTGGGCATGAAACCATATACCATTTATTTTACTTATTTTTCATCTGGAACAAGACTGCAACCTATTGTTTCACAGGCATTCATTTATGAGAAGCTTTTGTCTGAAAGCAACCACCCTTTTCCCCTGCCCTCCCCCCTGCACAATCACATGTCTGTCAAACTTAAGATGCTGCAAACAGCCTCACGCTTAGTAAATAATCCACTTTAAAACTTGCTGAGAAAGCAGGCAGCACGTACCCAGCTAGGCTCCAGCAAGAATTAAGATGATTTAGCTCCCTTACTGCTCAAGTATGCAATACGTGCCGTTCACTATGACACCTTTGCCTGTACCTGACCAGAATACAAGATCAGAGTAGACTCTAAATGGCTTTGTATATTTTTGCTACATTAACAACTGAGAAGGAGCTCACTGCTTTGCAGTAGATTTTAATCAGAAAATACAAGATGTGACAAAGTTGTATGTGCTTTTAAAGTCTCAAATAAAATTCTTTATTCTACAGTACATCATAAAACGTGATTTAAGGGAAAAGTCTAATAGGGAAAAACTCAATCTTTTCCTTTCAGATGTGCCCTCCAGTATCAGAAGGGAGGGCAATTTAAGGACACATACACATAACTGTGGTCTGGCAGCATCACATCACACACAGGGTATTATTGATTTATTTTCATTATTTATTTACAACTCTGAGAAACATGCTTTGACCATTCCAGTACCACACCTTTTCCCTTCTCACCGAATGAATCCATAGCTGACTTCCCTAAGTCTTTTCGTGTCCTGCAATATAGGTGGAGCAAGACAGAGAATTCATTCCCTTACCACATGCCTTGCTCTGTATCCCTTCTGCAGGCAGTACAATAGCAGTGACAGGCAGCAAATCCATTGCCGACTCCTGCAGCGTGGTACCCTGCATTAATTAGCTAAACAGCAGGAAACACTTTCCAGCTTTATTGTCCTTAGATGCACAAAAGCCCCTCGCTGACCCCAAAGCATTAGCTTGTCTGCATAATGCAACTACCAAGAAAAGCCAGTCCCTTGTCTAAAAGATCAAGTTCAGGTCATCACTGTTTACATTATTCAAAGATGATTGTGGCTCAGGCTGTGAAGTGAGTTTTCTTCCTCCCAATTAAAAGGTTAAGCAAGCCACTCTTGCGATCATGCAAAGAAAATGCATGCCAGCCTCTTGAAACACATGCCGGGCTCCTGAGATGCAAAGTTCTATTTGTTTAGCATGACTCAAGTATAATAAGTACAGTTAGGTTGGGGATTCATAAACATGTACCAAGTTAAATCAACCATGCTTGCCCAAAGAGCAGCAAAGCTTCTCAGTTACGGGCTTTGTTATCTTTTATCAAAGAGCACATTCATTCAGCTTGCCTCTGTTTAAACATTTGGTCACTGTAAGTGGACTTAAAACTGAGAAGGATAAAACTTTTCTCAAAAATCTTACTCAAATGATTCAGACAAGTGGAATTTCAATGCGTACCACACAGAAACAAGTCTATGAGGGCACCAGAGACTTTGCAGTGTACAAGAATGCTGATACTAGTTTATGCAGAAAACATCAGGTTATTTTCTGCCATAGATTTCTCACCAATGAAAAAGCATTCGTAATTCGACATTTAAAAAACCCAAAAGCCTCTATGATTCATAAGAGAATTAGTTTTAAGTTCTAGATTTCCTTCTTGCATTAGCTTTGACTACTTAAATTTTGTTCATTTTGAGTAGTAAGACTGCAGTAGTTCATTTTACCTTCTGGGTTTTGCGGATTAGGGTTATTGTCCAATAACCCCATGTCTCCTAAATTTCAGGGGAACACTTAAATCCAGACTAAGAACTATTCTCAACGTAATTTATAATCTGTAGAAACATTTCCACTGACCTTGTTCAGATTGGCAATAATTTACAGGGCAACTTTCATGCCAAAAGGAGGCTTAAATGCAACATCATCCTGACAGCAGATTTTCCTTCAGCTTCTTACCAGTATGCAATCACATCCCATTAGAGAGCCATACATCATCCACTGAAGACAAACAATCTTACCCCCACCAAGCCCCAAGCAGTCTCAGCTCTCAGGTACAGCACTGAACTTCAAACAAGTAGATTATTGCCAGCTAAATCATAAATTAAACAAATCTAGATGCCAAGTAATGCTGCCTGACAGCTCTGAGCTCCTTCCCAGGTAAGAAGGAGCTACCTGCAGCAAAGCTAGGCTCCCTCTCAACGTGGGCCTTGCAAGAAATCAAGCAGCGCGGACACCCCACTGCTGAGGGGTCCAGAGGTCCTGCAGGAGAGGCCAGTACACCATGACAAGGCAATGGGGGAAAGCCTAGGGCTACATTTCTGCTATCAGTTGTTCCGCTGTGGAGGGCCACACAATGTTAAATGACAAAGAAGGAAGCTAAAGTATTCTCTGCCATTAGTGGAAGCTTGCCTTTTGTCTGCATATGAAGAAGTGCTGAGTGTGAATTTAAATTCATTAGGATACGTATTCTAGTACAAAAGTGACTTTTTCATTCATACACCAGTCATGGGCAGGTGACATGCACCAGACAAAAAAATACCAGTATCACTACAAATGCTCACTGCAGTGAAACTAAACTGATTTAATTCAACTGGTGCAACTTTTTATGTAGCTAAGCACCACTTTCCTGGAACGCAGAAAGGATGGAAGCCTATTCCTACCAAAATCAGTAGTAAAACCCTTCTACAGATACTAGCAGATACAGATGTCACCTGTCAAGCCCATCCTGAATGAGCAGTACAAAGTTCTGCAGATGGTGATGCTTCATTCTGTGCTGAGATTCTCCAAGTGTTCAAGGCCAACCCTCAGCACCACCATACTCCTCCTCCATCCTTCCCAGTCTAGTAAAGCCATTACACAACATTGCACCAAATCCACAGCAGATACTTTAGTTACCACATTTAAGATGCAATTCATAAAAAGGTGACAACACAGTCCACAGTAACTGGTAGCTTGTGTGCACTCAGGGAAAGACATTTCTAAGCATTCACATTCTAATGCCAAGAAAAATCAGAATCAAAAAAGGGACAAAGCTTCATTAGCAACTAAAAGGTCGAAAAGAGCTTTTAGATTTAAGCTAGAGGTAGGAACTTAACAGGAAAAGTACAATAGAGCATACTGCACTGTTTCTACTGACAAAGTGATACTTCTCAGTTTCTACAAAAAAGAAAATGCGTGTATCAATTTAGTATGAAGAAGTTTCATTACTGGATTTTGGCACAGAGACACAGGAGTTCAAACCCCTCTCTAGTGCAAAGAGCCCCTCTAGAACTGCCTATGAGATGAAACGCCAAACAACTTTACAACATGGGCTTTAAGAAAATGCTATCAACTTACTGATGCACTGTTTGTGTAAGCTGCAAGGCAGTAAAACAGGATGACCTTCCCAAGCTTTCTCTTTGGACCTCTACAGACAGGGATATTCTTTCCTTTGGCAGCTCACACAGTCAAAGAGGGCAGCATTTGACTTCAGTTGGGTTCTTGAGGGTTTTCTTCCCCTGAAATGGGGACCCCATCAGTCCTTTCTGGGGCAGACTCTTTATAGAAGCAAGGAGCTCTAAAGAGTTAACCGAGCTGTTTATGCAGAGACAGATGTGAAAGAACATAAAGCCCCCTTTGTGCGTTACAGGAGCTTAACATCTGCTTGCACAGCATAATTCTACTAAGGCGAATGCAATATTCGACTCTCCCTTTTACATAAACAAAAATGAAAATAGACTCAAGAGTTTTAGAGTTAAAAATAAGTTGCTTAGATGAAGAAAGCCCATCGTTCTATTTTACAATATGATATACAAGCTAAACTCCTCAGAGATTTATTGCACTCCAGAAAATACAGGAACGCTACTGCAGTGTGACTGTTACTGAATGAAAATACTTACAGGCCAACTGAGATGTATCAGCTGTTTTTAAAGTGCTATCACCTACAAGAAACACCATTGACAATCAAATGTACAACAGGAAGTTTACAATACTAGCTATACTTTTGAAATTAAAACCATTATGTTTAAGGGACAGGCTCCATTTGGGTCCCAAAGTACCAGTAAAGGTTTAGTACTGTGACTATCATTAGAAACAATCATCTGTAACAGCTAACCTTTTTCAGTCCTCCCCTGCAGTGCAAAATATCCAGGCAAGAGCTTACTCTAGCACAAAGGGGACCTTACAACAGCAGCAGCAAGTAGAAGACTCATCGGACAAAGGTTCTGTTCATTGCTCGGGGTTTATTTTGTTTTATTTTGTGTTAAACAAGCAAATACCATACCAGGTAGGAAGTCAGGGTATGTCACTTTCAAGCCCAAAGGCAGTGAATTTATGTTACATCACATAATCCACAGTAATTGGTTACATGCATGATTCTGTCCTGTAGTAACTGAGACTACTCCTCTCTCAATGAAAGAAGGGTGAGCCATGACACATTTACTGTGAAGTGAAAGCATGTGGACGCGTGTGTGCATCACTCTCTCTCAGCCTAGAGATTAGAATTTCTTCATAGATTTTATCATCAATGGAGCTCACAACATTCCCTAAAACTGCTCACAACCTACTATGGATTATAAGATGTTGCTTTCAATTGTACATAATTCTGCAAAGCTAAAAGGCATTTGTTTGGAGGTTTGACTGTTGGTTTTTAAATCAAGAGCTTTGGTAGTGGGTTTTTGGGGAGGGGGGTGTCCAGCTAAAACAGCTCAGCTGCTTGGGAGAACAAACTCAGAATATGTGTTGCAAGCAAATTTTGAAATAATGAACTTTAAAAATCCTCAGAAACATTAGCCTATGGTATCATACCCAGATCTGACATGTTCTCAACTTGAAACATGACAAGACCTTTTGCCATCCCCACCTAAAGTAGACTGAGACAGGACATCTGCTGTGTAGGGAATCTGAAAAGAGTGAATAAGGTGACAAGACAGAGCAGGAGCCGAAGCCAGGGGCGGTCAGGGATCAAGA